TCTCAGACCATGCACCGGCTCTTTGAGGAAATCTTGGCTGATGTGGAAGGTCTTCATATCAATTTTACAGGAAGCACAAAGAAACTCCTCATGCAAATATTCCAAAATGTTTGCAAGAAAGTTGAATGTACAAAAGATTTACTTCTCGTGGTAATGGAGGATGAGACAGTAGATACCCAAATCATTGCAAGCAACCATTATTTTTGTATTTAAGTAAGATCTTACCAACAGATGGCCATTAGGGTCAAAAATCCTTGGGAGTGCAACCTCCAGCAAAATAACAAGAACATCAGATTCCCTTTCATCACTTGAAATTAATGAAGAGGTAAATGTGTAAAAGAACAACATTTATTAATGCTGAAAGTTTTGTAACCTTTTGTTACAAATCAGTAAATGCATTCTGTCCTCACGGGCTTCCATAGAAGGAAACAGGGCATCCAATATGGCGTCGCCCATGTGTTTTAGACCCCATTTTTATGGTTATATTCTATGAAACCGCCAATATTTTTCAACAACTGGGTATCTTTTAATTAATTTACATTAATATTTCAATGGATATTTCCAGGTAATAATGGTAAAAACTACACATTGTCACTTTAATTGTGAAATGTTTTAGGAAGTAACTCCAAGAACCTTACCATCACTGCAAGGTTAGTTTCATCTATTAGTAAAGTGTTTTCCAAGGCCACCCCTAGTTCAGAGGAGAGAGATCTGACTCAAAAGTCCAGATCAATGCATCACAAAGTTGCACATTGAGTACAGAAAGACCATGAGGTAATACAAGGTCCAGTGTGTGCCCATGCTCCTGTGGGTAACACAGAAACAGACTGCACAAGGTTAAACATCTCAATGAGTTCCAGAAAATCTTTAGCTGTAGGTGTTTCAGCGCAGCACACAGGAATGTTAAAATCACCCACAATCAGTACTCGAGACCTACCTGTCTGTCTTTTTATCTTACCCTACCCCTTTATATCTCTAGTTTCTATTTATATATTATGATCATATTAGGTGCGTTTTTACTGTCGGAACTTCAGGATAAATCTACAGGAACTTCCCGACATACATGTGTCTCCACTTGACCGGGCTGGCCGAACGGCCGTTTTCTGGGCTATTTTAAGGAACTTTCGGAGTACCTGATCAGAGGGAGGTACGCGGAATGGCCCGGTGGAGTGGCTTGGTGGAACTTTAGGTTAGCTCATGCTGATTGGTTGTTATGTCTGTAGGAAATTACATCAGCAGACATTGTCCAAAACAACTGGCAGTAGTAAAATTAGAAGAGTAGCTTGTGAAGCAGAATGGAAGGGAAAGGAAATAAACACCAGCCGTTACTAAACTCCAGACACCGGAAATCACAGCAGAATTCCCCACAACAGCATACTTCACGGGGCTGTTACTTTGACGAAGACACCAGCGGGTGTCGAAACGTTAGTCTTTTTTGTGCTCGCACCTATTAAATCTTTTGTCACTTTGAGTGCTCCAGCCTTCTTTTTGCTTTTTTGCATAATTCACAGGGCTTTTGTGTCTCACAGAACACCGTAAAAAATTTAGCTTCTTCATTTTACATCATGCAGCTGCTCTCATCCTCTGAATGGATAAAATGTTGATGTACGTACTTGGACAGAGTAAAACTTTTTATGTTACTGTGGATGCTTTTGTCAGGTCAGTGGAAGTGGAACAGCATAAGATGACCTTGTTCACTTTGCATCTGTGTGTATCTGCAAAAGGCTTTCTCCATTGTTTATTTTTGCTTCTTAAGGCCAAAACCTACATAGCATTTCATGATACTGTAATTTTGACTCAAAACACCCAATTTCACCTATTCTACTTCAAGCATTGCCTCCCACCTCCCCCTTCTTTCCTCTCTCCTTAACGTGGAAGTGGGAGATCCTTTTGTGTCCCCCCCCCTTTTCTTTTTCTGCCCCTCTTTCACCCTGGGGAGAGAGACACTATTGTGGTGTTTTATGACCTCTTGAACCCCATTTCACCACCACCCTCAAACACACACACACACACACACACACACACACACACACACACACACACACACACACACACACACACACACACACACACACACAGAGAGAGAGAAAGAGAGAGACTCAGACGGTAGTATTTCAGACCTTTGACTAGGGTCGGACAATTTAGAAAAAGGCTTCTCAATAAAAAAAATCATATTGATCAATACATAATAATTAATAACTATATAAAAATGTAGAAAATATATTATAAGTGCAGCCATGGCCGTTTTATGTCATTACTTCATGATAAAACATGTTGGTCGTTTTACTAGACTTGGTTTTTATCAATTCTCTGGAAATTTTGCAAACCACTGTTGTCTGTTTTTGTCAGACTTGTAAAAATGAAAATATTGCCACACTGGTGAACTACTGTAACCTTTTTTGGGACAATTTCCTCCACCTCTCTTGGTTGCAAGTTGCAAAATCATGTTTAAGTCACATTTGCTGTCTGTTTTGGTTTGGGGGGGAGGGCTTGATGACAGAACGTGCCTGGGTCTGTGTTTGCGATTGGTTGGGTGTAAGTAGTATGCAGCTACCCCATTGGCTATAACGGAAAAGGAAAGGAAACATTTTATTGACCCATTTTTTTCCCCAATTGCACCACAAGTCTAGCACTCGATATATATTGTTACTGAATTATTGTCCAGCCCTACCTTTGAATAGCTAAAACAAATAAATGGGTGGAGTAGTTGCACATTATTACATGTATTATAAAAGATTTAGAATGTTTTCACTCACAAATTTCCATTTTCAAATTAAGATTTAATAAAAAAATCAAATCCCTATTTCAATTTGTTTCAACATAAATTTTAGGTGAGCTCTGAACCTCTCAGATCCAGTTCTCCATAACACACACAACTCAGCCGCTTGCTAACATATGCAAACACTCATGTATAATCTCTGCTCTCAGGGAACAGCTGAAGTAGTTTGAGGGATGTCTCATGACCACAAGGTCAAAGGTGAGTTCAGATAACAATGTTTGAGTGAGACTTTGATGTGGCCTATACCTCTTTTACACACACACACACACACACACACACACACACACACACACACACACACACACACACACACACAGGGGCACCCAGACACGTTCTCCCATGGACTCTTGCTCTGTGGACACAAAGGGCTTGTCTTGGGGGGGTGAGAGGTCAGGCTGGGAGAGGTCAGATAAAGAAGCCCTGGCACATACCGGTCACACACACACACACACACACACACACACACACACACACACACACGCACGCACGCACGCACGCACGCACGCACACACACACACACACACACACACACAATGAACAATTAAATGCATTTATAAGACCATATTTGTAGTTGAATCATTAAAAATCTGTTTAACGATGATGTTTTTGTGTCATGTTTTGATTCAAATAAATAAATAAATAAAAAGGTGATGAGAAAAAAGACTTTACAAATATAGTAAAACTAGTTTAGTTTAAGTTAAGGGTTAGTCAAGTAGTCGTTGCGGTTAAGGTTAATGAGGGTAAATCAATTAAATGTTCCCTCAGGGTATAGATTTGATCTGTGTGCCTGTGTGTGTGTGTGTGTGTGTGTGTGTGTGTGTGTGTGTGTGTGTGTGTGTGTGTGTGTGCGTGTGTGTGTTTTCTGTGACACAGAGATAAGATAAAGTAGCAAAGGAATGCTGAGCAGTTGTCAGCTCCTCGCTGCAGCATCTTTTTCAGGAACCAAAAGCTGAATAAAAACAGGGAGAAAAAGAGAAAGGCTTTCCAGCTTTACAGATGCTGTGTGAGTCACGGCCTGATACACATGCAAAGCAAACACACACTCACACTCACACAAAGTGGACACTCAGATGGGAGCAATGCTGACCGGTGACCCACAGCAAATGCTTCCATTCACAGTTTGCTTAAGACGCTGGATCGATGGCCAGTAAACCAACTGGTCAGGCTGCATCCACACGCTCATCTGCACAATGCACTGACCGGCCAATCAGCTTACAAACTGCCATAACACAAAATTAAACCCCTTAAAATATATATTTTTTGTTGAAAATGCAAATCAACACAATACTCTTTACATACTTTCCATTTAAACAGAGTCTATGACATAGAAAACACTGACAGCACCATGAAACACCTTGTTCTGCAGGCCATTGTGTCAGACTACTAATATCCACCTCCCTGACTTTTCAGTCTGCACGGTCTGACACTTGGTTATCTCAGTGATGGTCCTTGAGCCTTTTTTGTTTCTTCTGCTGTCTGTAGCTGACACAACTCCATAGGTTCTTGTATTGTCTAGCTACAGACACAGGTGGCGTAGAGTATTCTAAGCATAAATATTTTTGCTCCAGGTTGCATCAAAAGTCTTTAGGGAGTCATTAATATTAAAAAAAATTTTCATCATCATAAATGAGATAAAATAATGAATTTGTTTTATTTCCATTAACCCGAATTTAGGACATTTTCCAAACTTTTTACACAAAAATAATAAAAATTATCCATTTATAAACATTACGAGCACATAAATAAAACAGTGAGACACGTTTTATCACCATTGGTTGTGTGTTTTTAAACCTGTTAATCTGTAATTATAACATAACTTATATAAAAGGGCACAAAACAGCAGTTTGAATACCTAATGCCTTTAAGGGGACCAGTGGGGTTTCATTTCAGACATTTAGTGAAACATTTCTAGATAGAACAGTTACAGTAAAACTATACAGTTTGGGTCAAGCATTTTACTGGTTTACTTATTAATTTAAAGAATTTGAGATGCGTTTGGAGTTAGAAAACCCCTAATTTCGTGTTAAAATGTCATAAACACAAGTACATGTGGAGATTTTAGTGCAAAATCCGAATTTTTATAAGATAAAAGGCTTTGCTGTCATTCTTTTCTTTTAGCATCAGTAACAAATGAGTCAGTTTTCATCATGAAGATGTCAGGGCAGGTAAAAGTCTTCAACCTGCTGAAATACCAACTCAAAAAACAAACAAACAAACTCACCTCTACTAAGAAGCCGTAGAAGCTACTGTAGTGGAAAGTTGAACCAGAGCGCCGTCACCATGTCACCGGCGCGAGACCTACAGCAAGAGTGGCTTGGGTGTCGCGTGTGTCATCACCTCTGATCCGGCGCGAGCTCCTTCCCCACCCCCCTCTTCCTCCACAGCAGTGGTACGGTCCAGGCAAGCTGAGCAGCGAGAAGAACACTGACTGGACTTGTTTCATAAAAAAGAGAAGAAAAGTTTTCTTCATGGCGCATTTATCATGAACAGATGTCAGAAGGCCTATGGGAAGAAATGTTTGAACATGTGAGATGAATGATAATGGAAATTGATTCAGTCACTCCAAAACTTTTATTTTTTTTTACCGTCTTGTGAGTCATACACGAAATTTCTTGTAACCAAATGTGTTTTTTGTGAGACAGTAAGTGAATAAAAACTACTAATTAGTTTATTCATTCTGTCATTCAAGCCTAAAGGTACTTTAATTAAATGAGCTATATTTGAGAATTCATTAGGTAAGAAAATCATTTGCAACGTGAAATAACAAAAAAATGCAAAATTTTTACCCCCTTTGCGTTGATTCATATTTCTAATTCGGCACATTTTAAATACAAAATCGTTTAAAAGCTATCTTAACAAATAGCTTAATTTAAAAAAGAGAACAGACAGAAAGCACACATTAAAATAATCAGAAACATTTTAAGAATATGCTGAAGACTCCTAAAGGTTTTGAAGAATTAAGATGGATTACTGCCTTTCCTTCAGGTTGCATCAATCAATCTGAGAACAAGCTGGCGTAAACTGAGTGCATAAAAAAGCGTTTTGTTGTTTAAGGTTTTAAAAAAGTGCACAAAGTTTTTTTAATTAGGATTATTAAATAAAAACTTGTTAGCAAAAATTTTAATTCAGTATATTAAATAATTGTTTCTATAAATCGATTAAACTTCAGTCTTCAACAGAAATGTATTATGATAATGATAATAATAATAATATAATAATAATAATGATGATAATAAAATAATAATGAAACATACTTTGTGATTTTTTGACAATTAGCTTAAGTAAAATCAATAGTCTGCTACCAATAATTACGGAAATTATGACAAAAATATAATACAAATTTCCAACTAAATGTGACATTAGATTGGTTTCATAGTAAATGTTTCTCATACTAAAACTTTTAATACACAAATGTAGTCAAATTTTTAAGTAAACACTAATAAAAAAATAAGTGAATGAGAAAAATATCTAAAGAAAAGCTATTGTGCTTTTGCACCCTCTTCTGGACAAAAGTCATGTCTACATTGAGTTGGAGCAGCAGTGCTTACCTTGTTTTTCTATGCTTATTGTGCTTCTGATAACATCAGCAAAAATTTTAGGCAGTTAGATTTTTAACCATAGTTTTGAATCACTCATCTTAAAGCCAAACGAGTTTGAACATTTCTGTTTACTTTCTGTTTTTTATGGAGCTCTGTTGAGTTTTTAATCGTCATTTTCTACGGAATCATCCTTTTGTACAAACAACCTATAAAACCTTACGTTTGATGTATTGTTAAACATTTTTACACACTGTGACAAGTTTCCCACAAAATATCACACATTGTTGATTTCAAAACCAAAATCAGTTTATTGTATCTCACATGTTACAGCACTTCATCCCTTCACAAATGTAAACCTGATTTATGAATATATGAAAGAAAATCACAACAGTGTAAAAGGCTTCTCTACTGCAGAGCTAAGACTGTCTCCAGAATGACAAGTGAGCTCTGCGGTGGTGTAAGGTTTGTCATACTGGCATTGAAACATCCAAACTAATATCATTACAGCACTGATGGAAAAACATAATGCAATTGTGCTTTTTACTACTTTGTATTACATGTATCTCATAATTTAATCAAACCCAAGTTTGGTTGCTCAGAAGCAGGAATAAATGTGCAAATTTATTAAAATAATGTAAAAAGCAAGATTTTTGTCTGTGAAACTTTGATGCAATCTTTGGAATTAACTGAACTTTGAATAACCAGTTACAAGTTTTACTATTTGGCTATCTAGTGTTGCCACAGTTATCTTGAGAAAGTAATCTGATTATGCACTACCGATTACCCTGTTAAAAAGTAAATGTGTTACTTTATTTGATTTTAAGAGTAACTAAGTTGGATTACAAATTACTTTATTTGTTACATTTGGCACCAAGTCCAGCATTTCATACTTGGGAATAAAATGAAAAATGATAGTAATAAAAATAGGGAATAAAAAACATGCAGTAAAATATGCTTGATTGCACCTGTACACATGCTGTAGTATAGCATTAAAGCATGGTTAACAACTTTAAATCAACAAAATATATATTTTTAAGGTTAAAAAGGAAATAGAAGCTTCTGTTTTGGGTTTATTTCTTTGTACCCTTTAGAGGAATACCCTGAGGTTTAGCCACTTCTCCCACTTAGAAATCATGGAGGAGTCTGAAATGCTCATATGTTAATTTCCACTGTGAGAAACCAGTTTAAAAGTTCAGGAAATCACACTGTGCAACGTTTAAAGGATTTATTTGTGTTGCACAGCTGCACATAAGTGTTTGAACCTGAGAAAGTCAGTGTCAATGTTTGGTCAAACAGTTCCTGTAGGTCTTGACCAGGTTCGCACACACTGCAGCAGGGATTTTGGCCCACTCCTCCACACAGATCTCCACTAGATCTGACAGGTTGTCGCTGAGTAGGAATTTCAGCTTCCTCCAAAGACTTTCTATTGGACTTAGGTCTGCAGACTGGCTTGGCCCTCCAGAAACAACAATATAATTCACTAAACTTTGTTGTAGCGCCATAAAAATGCGAAGCTTTTTCTGGTCATTGAACGCCACATTTTACCTCATGCAGCTGCTCTTGTCCTCTGAACGGATGCTGTAGTTCGACATAATAAAAATCTTAATGCTACTGTGGATGCTTTTTGGCACTGATCAGTGACATCATTCACTCCTCAATTTACCCTGAAGTCCCAACAATGGAAACACACCTACCGTGACTCAGGAATGACTGGGGTATTCCAGATCTAGGGTAATATTTAATTTAATGATAAGTTGTTTTAGACAGAAAATATTGATATAAATCATATCAAACAAATATTAGCCTTCTAGTCTGTTAATCCCCACTGGAACAAGTTAGTTGCATAAAAAAACCCTACAGTTGTCAGCTACACCGGTATTGCCAGGTTTAACTGGTCAGCGCATACATGTAATAGGGCATCTCTAGGGCACCTTAATTGGCTGATCAACCAATCATCGTGGACCAGGAGACCTCCAGGGTCTAAAAACTTTCCACATCCAGATCTTGCCAATGGTGTGATCTTTAAGAAGATCCAGATCACCCATTGTGAAGCACAATGCACAAATGTCAACGCACTACATAAATTTCTACTCCATTATCACAACAGTTACACACCTGGCTCATCTCCGGCTTTTTGATCAGGGTGAACAGCTGACCTGTAATGGGAATATTTTCAGGCAGTGGTAGGCAAACTTCAGAGGAAATTTTTAATCTGATCTGTGTGTGTTCAAAAACCTGAGATCCAAGAGTTAACTAGATAAATTACATTTCTTGCAGAAATGCAGTTTGAATGCTGGATAGCTGAAACTGTAAGCTGAAGCTGCTGAACAGCTGAAATGAAGCTGAAACTAAGCAAAACTGTCAAAAATGAGCTGAATATATTGAAAGATGCAGAAGCAAAAAGCACCAACCAAGTAAAGCACAAAAAGTAAGTGAATAATAGAGAAAAATAATCCTGAACAGCAGAAGACTGAAATCTGTGAACATTGTATAAAAAACTGGATAGCTAAAATGTCTAAACACCTGTTATTTCAGTTGGACTACTTTAAAAGTTTAATCTTTACATTTAGCTGAACTGTGAAATTAGCAGCATATGCTGAATTCGGAAACGGATTGGTGAAGCTGCTGAATAGCTGAAGTGAGGCTGAAACTAAGCTAAACTGTCAAAATGAGCTGAATGTATTTAAAGATTTAGAAGCAAAAATCACCAACAAGTGTAATAAAGCTCAGAATATAGGTGGAGAATAGACAACAAAATGCTAAACAGCAGAAAACTTAAATCTTTAAACATTGATTAAAAGCTGGCATTTGAATGAGAATAGTTTAATAGGTACATTTTTACAATTGGCTGAACTGTGAAGTTAGAAACATTTACTGATATCTGAAACTTGATATGGAATTGATGAATAGTTGGATGAATGAAATGATGGATAGACTGTTGGATGGATGTTAGATGGTTTATTGGAAGGATGGATGGATGGATGGATTGATTTATATGTGGATGGATGGATTCCTTAGGCCAGGCCGATCGATTTGATGTCTCACATGTGTGGGTGTGTAATTCCATTTAGCCAGAAGATGATTGACCTCTCTCAACCAATCAGGGAGCTGGGAGGGAGCAAGGCACTTTCCCACCTTCTGACGGTCATTGAAATTGAACTTGTTTCTAGTTTTAAGTACAGACAGTTCAAAACGATCAAAAACAGGAGTCTGTTATTGGCTCAATATTCAGCTTTTTAATATTCATTCCTATGAGACTTGGTTAAAGTGATTTGTAGTTCCTTGTGTTGCCATGGTAACAGATGACAGGAGTCTTCTTTAAAAAGCAATGTACAATGCCACATGACTCTTTTAAACTTTGAATAATATTTCTATATTAAAGTATGTTGATACAGTTGTGTCTAAAATGCTTAACAGCATTCAAACAATTAAGTCTTCCACTCAGGTCAGAGGTAGTTCAAACTGGTGCAGAGGCAGACTGGCAACCTGAATTCTGGAGAATCACAGAACATTTGAACAGGAAGACATAAAATTATAACTTTCTCTGCCGAAACTTAATGCCAATTTATGTTTTAGTTCATCATTGTTAATTCTTGAAATATCTACTTGCATCAGTATTTCTGCATTTCAGTATTTTTTTAGTCAGAATCGATTCATCATCAATTCAGAACATGCATTTAATGCATCCATCGAGCTATTAAATCTTTTTGTCACAGTTGATGTTCCTCAAAGAACTCAAAGTCTGAAAAGTGAGAGCAAACCAATTATTTTTAAAGAAATGACAAAAAGAAAAAGCGGACAAGGATAAAAACTTGAAGAACTG